ATAGCCTTGACCGCGCATGTTTCCTACTTTAAGCCTATTTTTCTCTAGATCTTCTAGTAAAACCTCCAACAATCCCTTAGCTGTTGATCTCTCAATGGGTAGAAAACCCAAAAAATGTTCGTTGATATTAACTTGAACTTCAGACTCTGATTCCTGTATGGAGACAAATCTTACCACAAATGTCATCTGTTCTACTTTACTTGCATCGGGAGTACAGTCAAGAATCACGGAATAATACTTGGCCATTTGAAATTGCTCAATGATTTGGTGCTTTATGTTGTCATGCAATAATTCAATTATTTCATTTTGTATAGTTTTCCCTAGATATATAGCTTTGATTTCTTCTTTATTGAGGACTCTGCGAACGTGTTCCTCCATTTTTGGATCAAACAGCCAATAACTGAATTAACTTCAAAAAGTTTCCATTATTGTGTTAATACAGTTTATCGCTTGTTCCTCGAAAAGCTAGAGAGCCCTCACCTAGCCTTTTAACGACTGATATAATGCGTAAAAGAACTTTAGACCAGTCCCCTAAATGCTTCCAGTCTTAAAATCCCCGATTGCCAAAAGCGCTCAAGCTAGATGGTGCAGCAAAAAGTCGACATGGCAAACAGTACAAAGCGTTTTGAAATACGGAATGTACCATCCATTCTCTTAAAACCTCTTCTCCATTTCTAAGCCTTTTCTTGTAATGTTTTGGTGAGAATCTTTTATGCTGATAATCAAAAGGAAAACCAAAATTATACAAAGGTGCAGCTGGACCACGTTTAACCAAAAAAACTCTATCTACTGCACGCATGATTTTGGGCCATAATCCTGGGTCAGAAGAAATACTTTGGACGGTAGCTTTTTCTAAATGTTTCTCTGAGGTCTGCACAACTTGCGAATTTTGATTTTTGGAACTGAACGGAACTGCATCACTACTCGCCAAACTCGTTTGAGATGACTTACCCAGCTCAGTAATGCTGACGGTTGCGTCCAAAGGGGGTCCACATCCGGAAAGTCAGTAACTAGGTGCTGGGCGTTGTTCAAATGTTGGTCGGTTGTGGGAGCGTTAAAACTACCTTCTTTCAAGAAGTTCTGCAGCGCATCTGACTGTTTTTGAAGCTGTGTTTGCTTGTTCAATCTCCGCTTTTTAAATTCGCTCCCAGAGGGTTTTCTCTTAGCATCGGACATTTTGGTTTCTGGAACAAATTAATTAAAATAAAAGATAATACTGATATCAAAAAAAGCCATGATTTGATTTAAAATATATTTTTTATTTCTGATATAAATATACATTTTATCTTTCTTCTGAAGTCCAATGGGTCCTTGTTTTCTTCTATAAAATTATTTGTAACTACTTTTTACTAAAAAGTTCCTGTAGAAGGGTCTAGGACAATTCGCCATCGCCGACTCGTCGTAGGGCCGACTCGCCGTCAGCCGATTCGCCATCGTCGATTCGCCGTCAGGATATTTAACATTTCATATGTTTTTATATTTAGAAAACATAATATTTATTTCTTGGTATAGAAATCAAGGTATGAAATAAGCTTTTAAAATACAATATTAATTTCACCATAATCGATATTTATTTTATATTATACTTAAATAAAAGGAGGAATCAATATTTCTTTTAAATTTTAATTAAAAATATTATTACTTGTAGGATAGTTACATTTCATATTTGTGGGCTAAACCTCGAAGATATTCTAAAATATTATTCCTATTATAATTTGTAACTAATTGTAATAAACATCTCGTCCTTTCTTTACTTTTCTCAACCCCTTTATGAATTTCCAAATTGTAGGGTACTTCATTCCTAATTCTAATTGCAATCATCTATGAGCCACCCCTGCATGGTTGTTGGTCCTGTCTTGACCATTTAATGTCCTCTCATAGAGATTTCACATCTGATGAGGAAACAGTGTGGCTCGTCTACTAGGTCCTCGTCTGTAAATCAAAAAAATAAATTGGTATAAGGAAGCTAATATATCCAATCGAAGTTATAAATAATGTTTACTTCGTAAAAAATAAAACGTTATTTCTAAATTTATTTTATAAAATTTCAATTATATACCTGTTTCGGCGACCAACATAATTATTGTCTTCAAACCAGTCCAAAAGTGGTTGTAGATCTTCTTGCAAATTATCGCCGAGTACAATAATGGCTTCATCCAATCTTCTATGGGAATAAATGCAATAGATATTACCATTCTTGCGCTCAGTGCACATTGAGGGTTATTTTTGTACTGAGTCAATTGTCCAATTGTACCCACATGTTTTCTCATATTTTGAGCCAAATGAAAAAAGTATCCGTTGATGCTTACATTTGGAATTGAATCCTTCATTGCATTAAATGCAGCCTGTTGGATTTGTGATGGTCCTACGTCTGGTATAATTTCTTTGATGATTTCAAACATTTTCTTGTATGTAGCTTCTTGCTTGTTCGGTAGTAGGGCGTAAAATATGGGAAAAACATATTTTTTTTACTGCCATCAATGTATAGACTTGGAAAAACAATGGTGGTGTAATCGAAAATATACCATCGGCATACCAAGTTGCAGAGGTTTGCAAATGTTGCAGCCAACTTAGTCTCTCAAAAATCAAAATTTTACTGGGTCCATGTAAATAATCGGATAGTACAAAATTTTCTACTACATCAGGTTGGGCATGATATAGTCGATAGGAATTTGGTAAAACTAAGTTATCGAGAGTTGTAGGATTTCCAGGTGCTGCGTTAACTTCATTCCTTTTTCGTCGAACTACCTTTCTTAAAGCACAGTTGTTCGGTAATTTAGCCTGGCAAGCTTGTGAAATATTACTGACACATTCATTGATAACCTTAAACAAAAAAGAACAAATCTTTTTCAAACGATTTTTATAGCAAGTAAAAGTTTTTAAATGTGTTAGTTTTCGTAAAAATAAACAAACAGCATATTACAGCAAATACTGACTAATTCTAAAATACCAAATAAATAAAAATTACCTGAACTGTACTCTCTGTGGTTTTTTCAGCACGTTTCTTTATTTTTGTAACTAATTCAGCTACTTCTGCGGAGACTGCTGAAAAGTTGTGTGGGTGCACATTGACCTGTATAATAATTTATTTTTTGTGTGAATTCTTGCTTTACACTGACCTCTTCGCCAGTGGCACAGTGACAGAATATAGGTATTAGTACAGATGTATGAAAAAAACGTTCAGTGTTTTAGAAAGTTTATAATATACCTTTCTAAAACACTGACAGTTTTTTACCTATATCTGTACCGGAATCTATATTCTGCTACTGTGAACCCCCAAAATTTAGGTTACAAGCCGCCCCTGCTCCTCGCACACATCTCCAAAATTTAACGTTTTCGTCACTTTTGCTTACACCATCAAATACGTGAAGATATCCATTTGCCCCTTCCAGTTAAAATTGTCAACTCCATTATAAAAACTTTTTTGTATCGATCAGAATAATTTTGATGATACTAAATGTTCTGGATCTGGTATCGATATTCATATTACTCTAATATAGCTAATTCGAAAAATTAAACAATTCGTAACATTAATAGGTACCTACTTGAATACTAGTGAAAGATAGGTAGGTAAACAGTTTAATAGTTATTGTTAAACCCTAACACCAAGGAAAATTAAGCAATTCGTAACATTAATATGTACTTGAATAAAAGTGAATACTAGGTATACCGTTTAATGGGTTTTGTTAAAATTCTTAATTTTAATATCTACCTTTATGCTCATTACCTAAATCAATATGGATTCTAATGAAATTTTAACTGTATCTGCTTTAAAAGAAAATTAAAGAAAAAATCCTTATGCTCTCACATATTTCATTTCTATCTGAATCTAAAACATCTATAAAATGTATACCCTGACGGCGAATCGGCGACGTCGAATCGGCTGACGGTGAATGGGTCCTACGGCGAATCGACGACGGCAAATCGGCAACGGTGAATCGGCGACGGCGAATTGTCCCATTCCCCCTGTAGAAAACCCTTTTTTTCAATAATGTAGGTTCTTTTAGTAAAGCCCTTTGACTCTGCTTGTTTTTTGTTGTGTTTAATGCTTGTAACAAACTATGTCGTCTTCTTTTAAATATAGGGTGGACAGAGCTGCAATTTATTTAATAATAGTGAATGATATTTTCAGAATAATATTTGAAATTCTTACCATAAGCCTTTAATATCAGTTTAAGCTCGGTCCCTTTATTACTTCTAACGATTTTTGCCTGCAAAAATTATTTTGAACTTTGGCAGGCCACAGCAACACTACGGCTAGCTACAGGCTTGCCAACATTTCAAAATATTTCGGGATATAAACAGAGTGTTGTCCGAATTCAGCTCTTAGGGCGTACCATAATCCAAAATGTTTAAAATAAACCATTCACACAATAATATTTCTCTTTATAATTTAAATAAAAAGTAATTCATTTGAAATTTGATGGAAATCATTACATGATTTTCCCATGCTGTTTTGTAGCTCGTCTTTCAAAAAATCAAATTAACCGATTTTATAAAAATTCCAACATAGGTGTAAAGTCCAAAAATAAAAATATAAACACCACTAATAATTAATAAACATTAGATTTTCTAAAAAATTAGTGTAGGAACCGCAGCAGAATATTTTCTGTCAATTCGATTTGATGACGAGGCCATCGAACCGTATCAAAGTACATCATTGGCAGGGCTATTCAGAAGGCATACAGTAGGTATTGCAAACATGAAATCAAGTTGTTTTAGTTTATTTTAAAGTATACTGTTAAATTCCATCACCGAATCTCATACAGTTCACAACTGTTTTAATTAATTAATACGAGAATATAAGTACAAAAATAAATATTATTTATTAAAAACTACATCAATATATTCAAATCCATAAACAACAGATATGGCATGTTACATCACAGATTTTTCTCCAAAAAGAAGAAAACGTTGAATCAGTAAAAAATCCTTTAATACTTTTCAAATTAATTTATTGTTATAGAAAAAGCTTAGAATATATTTTTGTTTTGTTTCAGATTCCCTTGCAGAACATGACAGGCATCAAAATCTTGAATGTATCGCATAACGCCATTACGTCTATTCCCAGAAGAACTTTTCCCAAATTATATGAGCTTCACACTATCGATATATCTCACAACAATCTTTCAGATATCTTTAATTCCGTATTTCAAACTTTATTTTCACTTAGATATCTCAACATAAGATATAACAATCTGGTTAATATAAAACCTAGCATGTTTGGAACTCTTCCGACATTACTAGATTTAGATTTAAGCTATAACAATTTGAATACGGTAGCTAAAGGATCGTTTACGCGGTTAGCTAGTACCAGAAAGTTGAGTGTGAAAGGTAATAATTTGAAAAGTTTTTTCCAACTTCCTATTTCAGTTTCCGAATTAGATTTGTCCGATAATCAATTTGAAAAATTGCCACCTGAAACTTGGCCAAGTATGAATTCTTTGCTGAGTTTGGACTTGAGTTACAATAATATTGGTGATAATTTGGAACAGGGGAGTTTTACGAATCTTCTAACTCTGCAAAAATTGAATTTGAACTACAATGGTATGCAGAATCCTCCATGGGTAGCTTTGAGTGAATTGACTTCATTGCAATACATTTATTTAGAGGTATGTTTGATTAATTAATATTAATTTAAAAGTGAAAGATAAATTTATAATACTGTTCAGAAGTTACTTACTAAAAATATACTTAAGCTAAGTGAATACAATATCGCCATGCTAAGCTTATAATGTTTTTATATAAAAGTACTGTATATTAAAAAAAAAATTTCGGGGTAGGAATGTTACTGATACATCGTACTATTAATTTAAAATAATAAAATATGTTACGGGCAAGTTTGTGCATTTTGCGAACATTTTTTTAAAACATTGCACATTGGCGATATTGTCTCAGGGGGGTTAGCAATAACGCCACATAATATTATTCGTACAAGATGTTGTTTTTATCGGAAATTGTACAAGGAAAGTTTTTCTAAATTAACGTTTATTCAAATAAAAAGAAAACATAAACATAAGTAGTAATAAACAAACAAAAAATTTTCAGGAACAATATGTACAAATGTAAGTCTCAAATTTATCCTTCTTGGTTAGTCCCAAGCAGTCGTCGTGAAAATAGCTGTTGCAAACCACGCAAAGACGATTCTGTTCATTTTGCATGCTTTGCAATACCAACTTTTTTACTGATCGCTTTCTTCGGGCCGAGGACTTTTTCCCTGGTGCAGGTTTCTTAGATTTGGGAGTAGAAGTGTTGCCTGTTAGATCAGACTTGGCGAAAAGGTGTTTGGTAACAACTTGTGTTCTACAATTGATTGCTGGTTTTCTTGGCCTTGTGTCATTTGAGGTAAGCATATCAGAAAATGACGTGTGTTGATTTTCTTCACTCTCTTCGTCCTGTTCGTCTTCTTTGGCATCACTATCTGTATTATCGTCTAAACATTTGGACATCAGGGATTCACTCTCTTCAGAATCACTTAACTGAATTCGTTGACGTTTTCCAGCAGCTGTCGAGAGATCTGAAAGTGGTGTACGTGAAATAATGGGTCGATTGTTGGAAGGACCTGGAGGGGGTGTCATGACTCTATGTTGCGTAGGTGGTTGTTGGCTATGATTTTCCTGTTTAGTTACACTGCTTGGAGCATATTCTTCGGGTGGTAAAATGTCCGGATTAAACGGAAAAATTCCAGTTGCTGCGGAACCAGATTTAATGTTTGATGGTGTCATACATTTGTCCCAAACTACAGAAAAATTGTTTCGAAAACGTTGTTTTGTTATAGCACGATCCCTATGTGTTGACCACTATTTAAGAACTTTGTCATCCCAATAGTGTTCAATTGAGCGAAACACATACCTATCCATAGGCTGTAGTTCATGCGTTGTATTGCTTGGCAAGCAATATAACGTTACACTCGGCAAAATGATGCAGCCATTGTTTAAAAGCATCAATGATTATACTACCTTTCGGAGTCATTAACACCATACTAGACGCCAGAAGTGTATCTGTCCATTCAGGCTTCATCCTTTTTCCTTTAAATAAAATTAAGGGAGGAATCGCAGAACCCAGGGCATTATCACAAGATACTATAGTTACGTTTTGTCCATGCTCATTTGTACTCGCTTTGCTCCTTTTTTTGCAAGGACTATTTGTTGGTGGTGTAATTCTAACCGACAGTCTTTCTCGTCCATGTTGTAGATATGCTTAGGCTTGTCCATGATGTCCATGTTAGCAAGAATTTCGCCCAATTTTGCAAAATTGTTACTTACATAAACCTATTTAGTTTCTGAGCTCTCGCGGGGTTCATGCTTTGAGCTTTCCGAATCCTAATATGCGGATGCCTGTTGAGAAAACCTTTTAGCCAGTATCGGCCCCCCGCCAATTTTGTAACTTTATTGAACGGATTTTGAATTTGGTTGGTCTCACGCAAATTGAATACGCATCGCCGTAAAACTTTCGAAGTTAAGGGATAGCCTACTTCCGCCAAACGAATTATTCTTCCACACAAATCTTCCTCTTGTTCTAAATTAATAACTGATTTGCGATGCATGGCAGATTTTGTTGTTTGATGGTTACGTAAGTAGTCTCTTAAGGTCCTACGAGGAACCAAAAATTCCTTACTTGCCATTGGCTATATTGCTACACGGTTATTTTGGCGATATTATAAACACGCGCACATTTCTACTGTTTCTTGCTTGCTTCGGTAAAAAAACATACGATTTTTAAATGTCTACCATTAGCTGATAGCTCATTCTTTACTATAAACTACTGCTGATAAAAAAAAGCACTTACCTACACAATCTTTGAAATATCCAATAAATATCACGAGTAATCGCTTACATCGGTGGTGGTGGTGGCAAAGCAGTTTAGGTGCAAAACCAACTGCTAAACGAAAATGTGAGGTTAGAATTCACCACAAATTGAAATGTAGATTGCTTTTACTATTGGGAAAGTACCCCAAGCGCCATTTGTCTTTCAGAAACCATACCTTCCAAGATATGAACCCGTGGCGTTATTGCCAGCTTGGCGATATTGTATTCACCTATACCTTATAAAAAAATGGTATTCTGTCCTGTTATAATGGTGTGTTTAAAATAATATACTTCGGTAGCATCTTCTCATATCTAAGAATTTTTTTAATATCCGTAGAACCTATCATAAAATTGTAAATATTTCTGCCATAGGGAAGAAACACACACAATCTTTATGTAAAAGTATCATTGCATACAATCCAAGGCATATATGCTTTGTGTCATCTCTGAATCTAGAATTTTCTCTAAATCTTAAACAATTTGGTTCCTTAATGACACTATCGAATTTTTCTTTTCACCTAGTTTTTCCACTAGGTACTACGAGCAAGATTTGATTTTACTTACTAACTGTAGATGGCGTTACTTTGTGACTTCTTTCCTCATATTACCACCAGCCATGAGAGCGATGAATTTTAACTACAGCCATTAGAAATTGGAATTATTGTCTTTGTATTGCTGATGACATTTTCTTTAGTAAAATCAAAGTTTCAGTGATGAAAATTATTTTTCATGGTATCTTTGCTTTTTCTGAGGTTTATTATTATAGGGTCTATTAAGTTTTCCATTGCTATATCCACTTTCCAAAATGAATTTTTCAACTTTTTTAACATGATCAAAGCATTTTCTCCAATGTTCTCCATTTACATCTGAAATTGTCTTCAAAAACAAATTACGCATATCAGGTAATTTAAATGTTGTATTGTTTCGAGAAACCTAACCTTTTAATTGTGACCAGATCAGTTTAATGGGATTTAACTCTGCGTGGTAAGGAGGCAATCTAAAAATTTCAATTCTATTTTCTCGGGCCACCTCGTCTATAATATATTTTTTGAATTTGTTTTTATGTTGCCTTGCTATTACACGTAATTCTGCCATCAAGCATTTAGGAGGACTGATAATATTTTTAGAATGAAGCCATTTTGAAATATCTTCTTTTTTCCATCTTATAATAGGATGATTATCCAAAACAATAACAGAGTTAGCTGGAATTTTTTATAATGTTCTAAAAGCAATTTTTAAACATAGGGTCGTCATAGTAGTCTTTTGTTTTCTTTGATACGAACATTAATAAACCATCTGGCAAAAATTCATCGGTGCTTCCAATGTGAGTTATTATTAAACGGTTTCCTTTTCCTGTTGGATTTTTTAATCCACAAGAGAACTCTTCCATAAATGCTTGTTATTTAGTTTGATGGAGGTATCTTGTCAAATTTTTGTTACTGTATGTCCAGCATTAATTGATATTTCATCTAAATAAATTACCTGTTTATGATGATTCCTTGCGTCTACTATTTTTCTTAAATAATCATGTCTTTACGCAATGATTTCGTCTTTCTCCGTTAAAAAGCTGTACCTGTTATATTTTTTGTAACGAAAATTTAATTCATGTAATATTTTTGCAGATGAAAATATGAATATTTGGAAGAGTTGGGATATTTTTTATTTCTTAGTGTAATTTTTTAAGTGTAAGAATTTCATTTCGAAAGAAAAAAAAATGTACCGTTGCCTTATTACATTCTTTGCCCAAGTTTCAATAAAGGTCTTGTTCTTCCTGGGGGCTTTTTCGGATGTGAAACTTATCCAATAACTAGGGGAGATCAGGGAGCAATCGGCCATGTTTTTTTTGTATAATTAAATAATTTTATGAATTGAATTAAATATATATTCCTATATAATTAATAAACAATAACCTAAGTATTCTATAGATCATTTAGTCCAAATATTGATATACTGCGCAAAAAAATAGTTTTAGTGACTTGGTGCATTTGGCCGAATGCTCCCCATACTAAGGAAGCATTCGGCCAGCACATAGGGAGCATTCGGCTAAAACTAAAAAGTGATACTTTTATGGGAATAACCAAAGAGAGAGAATTAATTTTACAAAATAAATTTATTGGCAAATTAATTCAACAAAAAATACTGCGAACTTTAATGCATCACAATGATATCATCAATGTCTATTTCTGTTATGTTGTCAATGGGAGAAAAGTAAAAAGTTGTAGAAAGTCCTTTTCGTCTTAGAAATTTAACGCGTGTCATTTTTTCATTTTTTTTGTCTAAAATTTGTCCAACCAAATGGATAAAAGAACTATGAACATTAAATTTTACAAAAACAAAGTCTCCTTCACTTAATTTCTGTTTCGTTAGTTTTTCAATATTTTTAAATTCTTCATCAACATCTTCGTTTGCATTTTCATTAACTGATGAGGAAGGAGTCACTGTTATTGGAAGATAAATCGGAGCAATTTAGTTGATCCAATTTAACTTTCTTTATTGGCTGTCTATCGGGGCCGCCGAGAGCCAGGTCGGGCCGCGGGACAATTTTCCAGGTCAGGCCCCGCGATAATTTTATAAAAAAATTAAGCCCTTTCAATATCACATTTCAACCAAAAACTTCTTCTCTTTAGTACAATCTCTAAAAAAAATCCTCCTCTTTTGTGCAATCTCTAAAAAAAGATTCTCCTCTTTAGTGCAATCTCTAAAAAAAAATCAAGCAAAACTTCCCATCTCTAAAAAAAAGATTTTCAAGCAAAAACTTCTCCTCTTTACTGCAATCTCTTGTGGAAAATATCTAAAAAAAAACG